TGATCCTAGCCCTAACCTTAACTTTGTTAATTTTGCCCAACGGTGACTATCACCAGCGGTGACAAGTATATTTTTTTATAAATAAATTATAAAATTATAAAATATTATAAAATAAATACTATAAAATATTATAATAAATTATAAAATATTATAATATTATAATATAAATATTATAAAATATTATCAAATATTATAAATAAATTATGATATAATTATAAATATTATAAATAAAAAAATATTATTTGAAACATGTGGTTTCGTGATTATAATTTGCATTTTTTCGATAACCATGAGAAAAACCTTAACCTATCGAATGTGTCTTGAAAAGTATATTATTTGGAAGAAAAAAAATTTTTATATGTCTGAATATTAGGAACCGATCTTGCAACCTAATTTTTATATATGCTCATTCATTAATTTGTTAATCACGGATCTCACTTTTCCACTTTGGCGGTATTGTTTCTATGAGGATGGATTGGCATTTCGCTCTAATGTGATATTATTTTATTAAATTCATTTCAGATAAATGATTATTATTATCATCATCATCATTATTACTATTATTATTATTATTATTATTAGTATTATTATTAAATTCATTTAATTCTAAATTACTAGTTTTTGCATTATTAATTAAACCATAATTTTTTTTATCAAAATTTTCAATAAATTCACTTTCCATTCTAAAAAATAACCATAACCAACGACGAACAACTTCTAAACATTCCATTAAAAATACTCCACCTTCTAATTGATGAATTATATGTAAATGTGATGATAATTTAAAAGACCAAGTAAATCTTAAAATAAAATCTATAAATATTGCTATATAATATATAATTGGTTCCCTAAAATGTAATGTTGATCTAAGTTTAAAACTTGGAATGAAATAATATTTCGTTGTAATTGAATTAAAAAATTCAAGTTTCCAATCTTTTGCAACGTCCCAATAAAATGAATAAAATGAATTAATTGCAACTGATATAATCCATAATTTAAATATTAACGTTGATGAATTTATAAAAAATGTTGTCTCTTCTTCTTCTTTATACCATTTTTGCATAACTGAAAATAATATTACTGGAAATGCTGATGCATATTTAAGCGCATTAAATAAATGATTTCGACTTGTATTTTTAGATGTGAAATAACATATTATACACTGTTTAAACCTAATAATATATGGGATACTAAAAGTAAATTATATTAATTATATTAATTATATAAATTATAAAAATTATAAATTAAATTAAATTACATAAATTATATATAATAAAACATATAACATAATTACCTTGTAAATAATGGAGCAATTACATCACCATAACATCGATTCCTTGAAATTCCTTCTTGGTTAATATCAAAGAATAATAAAATGCATCCTGTAACATATAAATCTCCCCATACTTTAGCAAAACTTGTCATAATATCTGCTATTATTACATCGGAAAAATATACTTCTTGGTTAAATCCTGAAAAAAATATTCTGCGGAGACATCTATAAAATATATAATTTTATATTTATTAGATAATTTGGTTTTATTAAATATTTTTACTTTGATAAAAAATTAATATTTTTTAATTTTTAATCTCACTTTAAAAATCTATAACGTTCTTTCAAACAAAAAATATTGAATGGACAAAATATAATTAAAAAAATTATAACATAACAGGATAAAGGTATTACAGTCCACTCTATAATCTTGGCTTGTACTCCCCCTGTCACTTGCCAAAAGACTGATAAGCTAAAAAAAATCAAAAAACTCAAAATTAAAGCTAAAGTATAAACAGGTCTATGCGCAGGAATATATTTCTTTTCTTGAGGTGAAGAAAGTAAAAAGTTTACGTCTATAAATTGTGATGAAAGTATTTGTAGATTTAAACCCCAGGCCCATACTCCAATAACAGAGACAATAAGCACTCGATAAGGTAAAGGTAAAGTATTTGAAAAGTCCCACTCTATTGTGGACATTATTGTTAACTATTACGTTACTTTGTCGTTCTTTTTATCTTAATTTGGCCGTCACGTGAAAGTTGCCTGAAACTTTTTTACGTGCATTATTTTATGAGCATCCTTATTCTGGACCCCTGGTTCAGGGTTAAATTTATGAACCCCCGGGGTTCAGGCAAATTATTCTAGACCCCATCCTTTTTAGTAATAAAAATTTCCAAAATTAG